AGGTTGAGCTTCTTCTGGGTGCTTGGCATCGTACGAAGTTTAAAAGTCGAAATAAACAGAGACTTTAACCAAATAAGACATATATAAAGGCCTAAACAAATGCCAAGCTGCGGGAGCGGGCGAGAAACACAGCTACTCCGCCATTGACGTCACGTGACCCCCCAGTGCGTGTAATCTAAAGACCTTTGTGATGTTAAATTGCGAAGCTTTTCACGTTCAGGGAAACGGGGTGGTCATGGCGGCACGTGGAGTTTAAATCACTTGCCAAAAAGCAGTAATCTGCTGTCACTCAAAAACACAATGTCCAATCTCTCCCAAAGGTCGCAGGTGTGATGAGACTCGAGCTCAGAAATGTTTGTTATGCCATTTGTCAGTAATGGTTAGAGCACCACCTAGTGGGATGACTATAATCATGATTGAATGAGATGAAATATTAGCTGGTGATTAAATCCATGAATTCCATCAATGTGACATCAGATCAGACGTGCTGGTTTTAGGTGTTGGGCGTGGCTCGACACGCCGGGGTGTGAGGGCCCTCATAACGCTGCTTGCAGCTTTAATTGCAATGGAAATTACACATGATATAGTAGATTTTTTCAAAGTTACTTTGACAAAATTTTCCTTTATATGATCTGTTTCATAATGTCTAATAAGCTTCATGCAGTTAAGAACAATCACTACAAGACAGAAACACAACCTTGATCTCATTCATAAAAATAGTATACATGTATGCTTGAATAAAAACAAACAGGTGAGATGTTAGAACGCCTTTATTGTTATTTTAGTAGACACTCAAAACTTACAACAGACAGCTGCTGGGGGTTGGAAGAAAATTGAACAAATATTTAAAACATAATCTGATCATTTTTTGAGCAAACTTCTTGATCTCCACGTATTAACATGCTGTTTTTGCTCCCGGTGAAAATGTTTCCTCCTGAATTTAAATATTTTTTATGTTAGATTTAATTCAGAGTCAGCTGTTTAAATAAGAACAGAACATTTTACATCAGGGGATATGACGGAAATTCTAAATATACTTACAGTTCTCCATGTAAGACTTGAGTATTAAACTGTCCAGTTATGAAGCTTAACTTTAATCTCACCCAACCAATTTACTCAGGAAAAAATCAAACACTGAAATAATTTAGAAGTTATCTAAGTGACTTATATATCATGTTTATCGGCTCTAGTGATCCTTGACCTCCCAGTCAGCTATCAATCTGGTGGGTAACAGGCATCTCTTAAAACATCTGAGCACTTTTGCAAATATGTGACGTCTTGAAAAATCGAGCAGATATTTGAGGTTTACACAGCTACATTCTCGCTTGAAACTATCTTAAAAGTTTATTTTGTGACCCAGAAAGAGTAATAAGAGTAATATTAAAACCTTTTAGCCACGTTTCTCGCCATTGTTGCATTTGAGTTTTGGACAAAATGCATTCTGGGATATTTAGCTGTACCAAGTCCACACCAGTCACCACTGATGCATGCTTGATAAAACGGGAGGAGCGACAACACATCCAGGTATTTTTCACGTTCTCGGCTTGATAAGTACTTTGAATTGGAACAGTACTTGGTGTCCGACTGACGATGTATCACGAGTACACGAGAACACAACTACGCATATTGAGACAGGGCTACGCTGTGGAAGAGCACTAGAGGTTAATAACAAGTATGAATAGTACAGAGAGGTCTATTAACACATATTGAGTGAGGAAGGTGATTGAAGAAGAATTTCTCAATGCATCATAGGAGTTCCCCAGCCGTCTACTCCTATTGCAGCATAACTAAGGGAGGATTCAGGGTCACCTGGTCCAGCCCTAACTATATGCTTTAGCAAAAAGGAAAGTTTTAAGCCTAATTTTAAAAGTAGAGATAGTGTCTGTCTCCCGAATCCAAACTGGAAACTCGAGATCACTGAGATCTGAACTCATTAGTAGATGCACTTGAATTTCAAAATACAGCTCCTTGTTCTCAAGTTATCACATTCACAAACATCCTTTAACACCCGTGGGGTAAAGTCATGTGCAGCATGGTGGCACAGTGGTCAGCACTCTCTAAAGGAAAGCTGCGGACAGTTTAGGGGCTCTGTACGGTCCGTATGTGTTTACTGTACTTCTGATGTTTTGCTGGAGTCTTCGGGTAGCGGTGTGGATCAGATATGGTCATCATAATAGTTTCTGCTCCTCTACAGCTTTTCCTGGAGGAGCAGAGTTTCTCTTTAAGGGCGGCTCAAAGGACACTTGGAGAGAAGGTCCGTCTCTACCTGCTCAGAATCGTCCTGAACCTGATTACTTTATCTCTGCTTGGTGGAGCCTTTTACTTCATCTACTTTGCCACACAAACATCTCTGAAAAAGGTAATGGTTTGATGCCAAGTATTGCCAAATACTAAAGCAATAGTATTGCTTTAGTATTTCTATCCGCACTTGTCTTTGTCTACTTCTGTTTTGTCTATGGTATAGCCTCCCTGTTTTATCTTGTTGAGGACTCTCTCCAGGTACATTCAAATAGTCCAAAAAGATTACCTCTATCTGCTTTTTTTTAAACATTTACATGACCTGTGCTACTTGGTCAATTATGTTAACTGTTTTCATAAATAGTTGGATAGCACATCACTATTATTGTGGGATGGCATGTGGGATGATCTCCTTTCATAAAGGGTGACCTGGTGTTTCCTATGCTGCAGCAGTTAATAAAGGAATCAGTATCCTTGGTATTTGGAGAAATCAAACAGCTCTTATTATGACTGCCATGCAGTTAATTCTGAGTCATTTCTCTAACCTTCCTAATTGATACTTTCTATTCACATATACTCTCTGTGTCTCTAGCTCCTATTTTCCCTTCTTAGAGCTTGTTTGCCCCATATTAATTTCCACATGTGTTCATTGTTTCCACCTTTGCCTAATCAGCCCTCTGTGCAGTCCCTTGTTAAATGTCAGCTGTTTTTTTTAAGGCAAGCTGACTTTCTGTGTCTCCATTTTCTTTTTTTTTTTAATAACAGCCATAAAAGTTTTGCCTTTTTGTTGTTTAATGTGCTTCCATGTCTTGAATTTGGGCCCTCTCTCCTTTAACGCCTAACAAATATGCTTTTTTAAAACAATACTTTTGTCTTTCTTGGTTTTCTCATTCCTAAAGTAAATAAATATTCTTGCTTTGTTCAAGTACGTATTTATTGAATTTTCTTAATAGCTGATAATGTATGTGTGTCTTAGGACAACTCTGGACACCACTGGTTGGTCAGTCTTCTCCTCCAGTATTTTCCTCCCATCACCATCACCTTTGTCAATCTAGTCCTGCCCCACATCTTCCGTAAGATCTCATCTTTTGAAGACTACTCCTTCACCATGCAGGTGAATGTCACGCTTTTGAGGTAAGCTGAAAAGAGACATCAACTTTTACTCTACATACAGGCACACATGTATTTGCATATTTACTGTTTCTTTTCTTCAGGAGCATCTTCTTAAAGCTGGCCTCCTTGGGGATCTATTTATTTTTTGTCTTCACAACAACAGAGCAAGATGCCAAGGTGGTACAGACTGAGCTTTAATGACACAACATCAAGGGTTTAAATTATTTTTTTGAATCTATTTTAAACAAAATCTTTGTGTCTCTTCACTGTTTCAGTGCAAGGAGAACCAGTTTGGTAGAGAGATGTACAAGCTGTCCATCTTCAACTTCCTTGCAACTTTCTTCAATGTCTTTTTCTTTAACTACCCCAGGAAGTGGGTTTGATTGACATTAACTGTTTGTTTCTTTCTCAGTCATCTTTGTGGTTTGAATGGAAAGATCAGCAATGTCTCTCCTTAGTAGATGGCAGAACAGATTCGATCTAAGCCATCTCCCTTATCTTTAACAGGTTGGTACAAGAGACGTATCCAAGATCCTTGCTGGCCCGAATATCAGGGAAACAGCGCTTCCTGATACCATTCAATGTGCTGGACCTTGTTTACAGTCAGACTGTATCCTGGGTGGGAGTCTATTACTGCCCTCTGCTGCCTGTCATAGGAATCGTTTCATTGGTTGTCACGTTCTACGTTAAAAAGGTTAGATTATTATAAACTCTTTATATTCCTCACTTTATTATTTTCTATCTGTAAATTGGTTAAATAAATCTGTAAAAGAAAAAGATGGAAAACAACTATCCCAGCTGTCTCGGGGAGAGAAGCAGGGTACGCCCTGGACAGGTCGCCAGTCTGTCGCAGGGCTAACACATAGACACAGGCAATTGATACAATTTAACAGACATTTGGGAAGCTGTAACACAAAATGTTGCCCTTTCTTATAATAGTAAAGATCTTTAAAATAAATCCTTTCCACATCAGATCCAAAGGTTAATCGCTTTCCAGTCCAAGCCCCACATCTGGTAAAGTTTTTATGCAAATCCAGCCAGTGTTTTGAGCAACCCTACTAAAATAGTATCCTAAATCAGATTTTAAAAAATATTGTTAACAGATAGGCACAAATGAAGATGATCTTTAAGCAAACAAGAAGCATCAAACAGGTCAGCAGGGGGGGAAAAGCTTGAAGGAGATAGATAAGATGTACTCAGGTGGGCTGAAATAAACAAAACCGTCTGGCAAATAAAATCTGAAGGAAAAACTGACTGATTTGGGGATAAAAATAAGTGGAGTACATTAAGTAATGGCTATATAGAAGTCTGGTTTTAGTATAAAATGTGTTCAAACCTTTTTGCTCTACCTCTGTGTCTTCAGTTCAGTGTCATGCGGTGTTGTGTGCCAGAGCAGCGGATGTTTCGAGGGTCCAGCTCTTCAGTTTTGTTCCATTTCATGTTGCTGCTTGGTCTCTTCATGTGTGCAGCAACACTGGGCTTCAACCACTATCCGCTACAAAGAACTGAGGGCAGAAACGCGTAAGGTTTTCACTCCAACTGCATCTAACACCGCCCGTCCTTCTTTCTTTTATTTTTAATTTGAAACCTTTTAGGATCAGAATTAAACCCATATTTATATTTTATCTTTATTTCCTGCTCATTTGCATTGCCTCTGCCATCCCAAGGACCTCCTGCGGTCCATTTAGAAATGAACAAACAATGTTCACTGTGACTGGAGACTGTGTGAAAAGTCTCCCCAGCCCAGCCCAGACCACTATCCGCTACCTGACTTCTGAGGCCTTCGCCCTACCACTAATACTAGCAGAGATGTAAGTATGCAAATAACCCCGCACCCAATACAAATATCAAACCTGTATTTGTAGTGTTCACCTTTACCAGCTCACCCTCTTTTAAGATTGTTTCAACACTTTTAGTTTTGTCTCCTCAGCATATTCTTAACCTCGTATGTGTCTCGGAGACGAGCCAATCAGAGGGCCATTGAGAGACTGAAAGACATGCTAGTTATGGTAAGCACATGTCCAAAATCCTTCCAGTCCCTCCACCATATTGGCTGGTAAGTGGAAGCTGGTATGCTTCAGGCTAGTTACTTTAAAGCTCCTAAATAAGTGAATGGGTTAAGAGCCATAACTTTATTTTAGTGTTCACTGGAACAAAAGAAACTACATCTACATATATCTACAACTACATAAAATCTTTTCTACTGCACATGTGCAAAGTTACATGACAATATGCCTCATTACTAGCTAGGTCGAGAGCATCAAAGGCTCCTGAACGACTGCCATTCAAGCATTTCTTTAAATTCAAATTTTTATTTGTCACATACACAGTACGATATGCAGTGAAATGCTTGGACAACTGCTCGTGACCTAAAGAAAAAAAGAGAAGGCTATGAATAAGATAGGAAATAAATATGAAAATAAAAAAGGGTAAATTTAACCAGGAAGGAATAAAATAAAATAAAATATAAAAATTA